GTAGTACTCTTCTCTCTGATGATATATAACTGTTCTGTATGTACACCTACAAGTCACTGTTCTGTAGAACAGTTCTGGCTGATTATATATAGCTCACATACAAGTCACTGTTCTGTAGGACTGTTCGGTCTGTTTATATATAACTGTTCTGTCGGTACACATACAAGTAACTAAACTATAGGACTGTTCGGTCTGATTATATCTAACTGTTCTGTCTGTACACATACACGTCACTGTTCTGTAGAACTGTTCTGCCTGATTATATATAACTATTATGTCTGTACACATACAAGTAACTAAACCGTAGGACTGTTCGGTCTGATTATATAGAACTGTTCTGTCTGTACACATACAAGTCACTGTTCTGTAGGACTGTTCGGTCTGTTTATATATAACTGTTCTGTCGGTACACATACAAGTAACTAAACTATAGGACTGTTCGGTCTGATTATATCTAACTGTTCTGTCTGTACACATAGAAGTAACTAAACTGTAGGACTGTTTGGTCTGATTATATATAACTGTTCGATCTGTACACATACAAGTAACTAAGCTGTAGGACTGTTCGGTCTGATTATATAGAACTGTTCTGTCTGATTATAAATAATTCACATACAAGTAACTAAACTGTTTTGTAGAACTGTTCTGTCTGATTATAAATAATTCACATATAAGTAACTAAACTGTTCTGTAGGACTTTTCGCTCTGATTATATATAACTGTTCTATCTGTGCACATGCAAGTAACTAAACTGTAGGACTGTTTGGTCTGATTATATATAACTGTTCGATCTGTACACATACAAGTAACTAACCTGTAGTCCTGTTCTGTCTGTACACATACAAGTCACCGTTCTGTAGGGCTGTTCTATCTGATTATATATAAATGTTCTGTCTGTACACATACAAGTATCTAAACTGTAGGACTGTTCGGTCTGCTTATATATAACTGTTCTGTCTGATTATATATAGCTATTATGTATGTACACATACAAGTAACTGAACTGTAGGACTGTTCGGTCTGATTATATAGAACTGTTCTGTCTGATTATAAATAATTCACATACAAGTAACTAAACTGTTTTGTAGACCTGTTCTGTCTGATTATATATAACTGTTTTGTATGTACACATAAATGTAACTAAACTGTATAACTGTTCTGTCTGATAATATATAACTCTTTTGTGGGACTGTTCTGTCTGATTATATTTAACTGTTCTGTCTGTTCACATACAAGTAACTAAACTGTAGAACTGTTCTTTCTGATAATATATAACTGTTCTGTCTGTTCACATACAAACAAGTCACTGTTCTGTAGAACTGTTCTGTCTGAGTATATATAACTGTTCTGTTTGTACACATACAAGCCACTGTCCTGTAGAACTGTTTTGTCTGATTATATATAACTCTTTTGTAGGACTGTTCTGTCTGATTAATACATAACTGTTCTGTATGTACACAGACAAGATAATAAACTGTAGTACTGTTCTGTCTGATTAATATATAACTGTTCTGTCTGTACACATACACGTCACTGTTCTGTAGGACTGTTCGGTCTGTTTATATATAACTGTTCTGGCTGTACACATACAAGTAACTAAAATGTAGTACTGTTCTGTCTGTACACATACAAGTAACTAAACTGTAGTACTCTTCTCTCTGATGATATATAACTGTTCTGTATGTACACATACAAGAAACTAAACTGTAGTACTGTTCTGTCTGATTATATATATAACTGTTTTGTATGTACACATAAAAGTAACTAAACTGTATAACTGTTCTGTCTGATAATATATAACTGTTCTGTATGTGTACATACAGAACAGTCATATATAATCAGACAGAACAGTCCTACAGAACAGTTTAGTTACTTGATATTAATCAGACAGAACAGTCCTACAGAACAGTTTAGTTACTTGATATTAATCAGACAGAACAGTAGTACAGTTTAGTTTCTTGTATGTGTACATACAAAACATTTATATATAATCAGACAGATATATAATCAGACCGAACAGTCCTACAGTTTAGTTACTTGTATGTGTTCTGTCTGATTATATATAACTGTTTTGTATGTACACATACAAGAAACTAAACTGTAGTACTGTTCTGTCTGATTAATATATAACTGTTCTGTCTGTTCACATACAAGAAACTAAACTGTAGTACTTTTTCTGTCTGATTATATATAGCTGTTCTGTATGTACACATACAAGTAACTAAACTGTAGAACTGTTCTGTCTGATAATATATAACTCACATACAAGTCACTGTTCTGTAGGACTGTTCTGTCTGATTATATATAACTGTTGTGTCTGTACACATACAAGTAACTAAACTGTAGTAGTGTTCTGTCTGATTATATAGAATTGTTCTGTCTGTACACATACAAGTAACTAAACTGTAGTACTGTTCTGTCTGATTATATATAACTGTTCTGTCTGTACACATACAAGTAACTTAACTGTAGTACTGTTCTGTCTGAGTATATAGAACTGTTCTGTCTGTACACATACAAGTAACTAAACTGTAGTACTGTTCTGTCTGATTATATATAACTGTTCTGTCTGTACACATAGAAGTAACTAAACTGTAGTACTGTTCTGTCTGATTATATAGAACTGTTCTGTATGTACACATACAAGTAACTAAACTGTAGTACTGTTCTGTCTGATTATATATAACTGTTCTGTCTGTACACATACAAGTAACTAAACTGTAGAACTGTTCTTTCTGATAATATATAACTGTTCTGTATGTACACATACAAGTAACTAAACTGTAGTACTGTTCTATCTGATTATATATAACTGTTCTATCTGATCATACAAGTAACTAAACTGTAGTACCGTTCTATCTGATTATATATAACTGTTCTATCTGATCATACAAGTAACTAAACTGTAGTACTGTTCTATCTGATTATATATAACTGTTCTATCTGATCATACAAGTAACTAAACTGTAGTACTGTTCTATCTGATTATATATAACTGTTCTATCTGATCATACAAGTAACTAAACTGTAGTACTGTTCTATCTGATTATATATAACTGTTCTATCTGATCATACAAGTAACTAAACTGTAGTACTGTTCTATCTGATTATATATAACTGTTCTATCTGATCATACAAGTAACTAAACTGTAGTACTGTTCTATCTGATTATATATAACTGTTCTATCTGATCATACAAGTAACTAAACTGTAGTACTGTTCTATCTGATTATATATAACTGTTCTATCTGATCATACAAGTAACTAAACTGTAGTACCGTTCTATCTGATTATATATAACTGTTCTATCTGATCATACAAGTAACTAAACTGTAGTACTGTTCTATCTGATTATATATAACTGTTCTATCTGATCATACAAGTAACTAAACTGTAGTACCGTTCTATCTGATTATATATAACTGTTCTATCTGATCATACAAGTAACTAAACTGTAGTACTGTTCTATCTGATTATATATAACTGTTCTATCTGATCATACAAGTAACTAAACTGTAGGACCGGTCTGTCTGATTATGTATAACTGTTCTGTGGGACTGTTCTGTCTGATTATATATTACTGTTCTTTAGGACTGTTTTGTAGGAGTACATATTAGTGTTTAGTAGGAAGTTCTGTCTGATAACAATATTCATGTATATGTTACTCTACCACTAAACATACTACTTTTTATTCACTAAGAACACTAGCATATCATTGTATACATGTGTTATACAATGGTGCCATTCAGCATATCGACTATTAATATACTAACATTATCACAAAAGGACATCAGTATAACATCCGATATGACGACCCCAAACTACATCCATGTATGTATATTTGTACCTGATACTGTATACCCCTGACCCCAAGCTACGCATACCCGATGTAATGTCTCCAAGCTACATGTACCCAGAGACATATATATATATGTATTACATACGTCTCTGATATACCCGATATATCGTTCCATAGATGTATGTATTTGACATATCGTCTCCAAACTACGACGAAGTACCCGACATATCGCCCCAAAGCTACATATACTCGAAATATCGTCCACGAGCTTCATTTCCCCAATATATATTATCCCCATGGTACATCACCCCTTAGTTACATTTACAAGTGTACCCGGATTATTGTCCCAATGCTAAATGTGCACGCATACATATACATGACATATCGTTCCAAGTTAATATTTACCTGACATATTTTCCTAAGCTACAAATACCCGACATGTTGTCACCAAACTGCATATTCCCAAAACAATGTTCTCAATCAACATTACCAGAAAAAATTCCAGCTACTTTTACCCGACATATCGTCCCAATGCTAAATGTACACGACATATCGTCTCAAAGATACATACATTCGACCTATTGTCTCTAGGCTACATTGCGATATACTCGACATTCGCCCCTAGCTAAATAAATCCCACATGTCGTTTCCAGACTCATACATGTATGTCCACGTTAGATACCCCAAGCTATAAATATCCGACCTGGAGACCCTAAGACACGTCTTGCCGACATAGAGACCCCAAGCTACAGCTGTACATATATCCGACAGTGGACGAATTTTCTACCTTTTACAATACCCTTTAAAGTTGGATTAATATTCCTGTTGACAGCGTTCTCCAATCAGGCATCCATTAACTGACATGACGGCAGATATATAATGTATATACACCGCTCGAAGGTATTCCAGAGGGAGTGTGGACGTGGACAGTCATTAGCAACACATGTGTGATCAAACGACTCCAAGTGTGCATACTGCAATCACGCGCTCAGCAGGAATCATATCAAATATCGAAATTGATTTTGTTATCTTGTCCTTATTTGTAGTGCTGCTCTTCTCAAAGAGTGATTTGTTTTCTATTCATTAAAACTGAGGCGAATTCAAAACTGTTCGATGATGTTAACTAGACACGTGCAGGATGCAAGCACTTTTCTCTCTTTCTCGTAATTAGAATTAGATATTAACTTATGGTATTTTATAGATTACCGGGACCACATCCACCAGCAGAGCAACAGAGTTTATGTCGTACACTGCGCACATTACCACACTGAACATTGGCAGAGTGAGTATCCACTAACACTATCATCGACTCTACATGGGTCCATATAATTGTCGATTGTTTTTCGATCAGTGACCTCTGATAACAAACCAGACAAGTATCGATTATTTGTTGTTTTCTGAAGTGAGAGGAAGATTGAATCAGGTTATCTACCGTTTTATCTTATACATGATATTTTGTCATAAAACAGCGTTCTCTATGACGCCCGCTGATTCTGCCGTTCTTCAGTCAATGATCGACAAGGATATCGAGAGAATAAGCAAGGTCGTAACGCATCTCAAGGCCACCATCGATGATCTCCAGGTAAATAAGGCCACGAGGCACGTATGCGTCATCATTAGTGATCTTTAGGTGAGGAAGAGTAAGCATGGTCGTGGTGCACGTGAATGTCATCATTAGTAATCTTAAGATGAGGAAAAGTAAGCGTGGTCTTGGTACATGCATGTGAATGACATCATTAGTGATCTTTAGGGGAGGAATATTAAACATGGTCGTGGTGCACGTGAATGCCATCATTAGTGATCTTTAGGGGAGGAAGATTAAACATGGTCGTGGTGCACGGGAATGCCATCATTAGTGATCTTTAGGGGTGGAAGATTAAACATGGTCGTGGTGCACGGGAATGCCATCATTAGTGATCTTTAGGGGAGGAAGATTAAACATGGTCGTGGTGCC